GGGTTCTATCTCCTTTGCCATAATCAATCAATCAATCATGCATAAGTAATAACCAAGAAATTTTTGAAATCTATGAGTTGGAAATTTTATGATGCGTTTCTAAATATCTGACAGGTAAAAGATGAAATCACAATGGTATTTAGAAGAAACCAAGCACTGAATCCTTACATGGCCATTTATACATTTTTAAAGACATTTTTAAATGCAAATCATACAGAAAACACACTCAAAATCTATTTATGGGTCAATTCTTGTGCCTTCTCAATAATAGCCATTTTGGAAGAAGTTAATGTGGGAGAATAAAAAATAAGGGTATAGCTAATATTCATTTGGGGTAAGATTAATGGAAATTCTCAGTTACAATATTTGTAATATTTATGTCTCTCCTGTTTTTTTTTTTAATGGGAGAAAAAAAATGAACCCTATTTCTTTATGTTAGGCAGATTTCTTACAACTGATCAGCCTTCCTAACTAATTGTTGATTCTGCAATTTTCCTTTTCAATACCTGTCATATCCCATGAAGAAATATTAAAGGACCGGGGTGACCCACCAGAAATGAAAGATTAAACAGGAGTATAATAAATCATGTTGTCTTTACAAGTGATTTTTATTTATATTGCAGTATGGGGATTGAATCCAGGGCCTCAAACATACTAGGCAAATACTCTAACTCTGAGCTGCATTCCCAAACTTTTCTTTAGTTCTTTTGTTTGGAGTCAGGGTCTAGCCAAATTGCCAAGGCTGAACTAGAACTTGATGATCCTTCTACCTCAGCCCTGCCCCCAGCAGCTGGAATTATAGGCTATACCTGGCTCAATGTATTTGTAATATAATGAATACAGGCCCAATTGATTAAACAAACATGTTGAGTAAAAGAACTTAATATCAGCATAACCAAGATAATTATATACCCATGCAATGTCTAAAGCAAAGTCTTAGAAATGCCTGTAAAACTATGAATGTAATTATGTAGGTATCCAACAGAGAATTAAGATCACTAATGTTTTCTCCTAAAATGACTGTATACAAACCACAACTAATTTATTCTGTAACATTATGGAGATAAAACTATGACTGTGTCTCAGAAGACTATGCTTCAGTTACGTAAAATTCTGCATAACTTAATATAAAATCAGTGTAGTCCCTCCACCACAGCTAGACACGAAGACAAAAAAAATAATAATAATTAATCTAATACTAAATCTTAAAATAGAAATATTTAAATAGTAGCAGTTTCAAAATATCCTCATCTGCTAACCCACTGACCACATCTGCCATTCCTAACAATTCCAAGGAAATCATGTGAATTGTCATTTAATTTTTTTTCATTTATCTTCATCAACACTTGTACAGGACATTTTTAACAACTAGTAAATTAATATGGCTCCTGCCATCTAAATCTTAACCAGAATGGCCAAGTGTCTGTTTCCTAATTCAGAAAATTATCAAAGCATTTCTTTACAAACATCACTAACAAATGGCCAATTGTGTAGTTATTCTCTTGAGAAGTCTAAGGGTGGGATTACCATGTTTAGCAAATAAAAATACACAATGCCCAGTTAAATTTGAATTTCAAATAAACAACATACTTACACAAAAAATTTATAGTAAAATATTTTACTATACGTATATCCCAAATCTTGCATGGGATATACTTATACTAAAAAAAAAAAAATTACTTACCTGAAATATGACTTAACTGTGTATCTTGTATTTTATCTGAATTTCCTAACTGGGATTCTTCCTCTGTCACCTTTTAGATGCAATATACCACATTGAACCTGTCCATTCTACTTCCTATAAACATCCAGAATCATTCCAATGTTCTCCATTCCTTCTGTTACCACCAATGAAAGAATCTCCCAAACAATCTCTCTGCTTCTGCTTTTATAAAAACTATCACCTCCTCTAAATTTGGCAGCATCAATGTAAGAAAAAAAATACTAACTTTAAATTTCTTTTTTTGTTTGGGGTCATAATTTATTAGCTGTAGAAATCTAAAATCCCTAAATTAGCATGAGATAAGCCAATGAGCTCATAAAGAAGAGATGAGGCCACTCATGGATAACCTCAAATTTCCCAGAGAAAGTAACAAGTATCTTAGATACGCCCAAGCCGATGGTCTACATGAATCTTGCTAATATGTGTTTACTGTTGCAAAAGAATAAGTAAAAAAAAAAAAAAAAAACTTTGCAGAAATGGTAAATTTGGGACTTCATAAATGTTTAAAATTCTCTTGCTTTTCAGATGAATTCAAGGACTTATAAAGAGACTGCTTGATTCCAGTCCATACCTCATTATCAGCAGTTCCTATAGTTCAAATCAATATTCTATGAATAACACCCTACTTTAGAGTATATCCATCAGTGCAAGGATGCAAAGCCATTAAGCAGAGATTTAAGAAATTTGGGAGGTAAGTAGAATCCAAATAAATATAAAACATGTTCCACAAAGTTTCCAAATTACTGACACTCAGGGATGGCTGATGTATCCTGATTGATAAATATTTTGGTTGTGAGAACTCTTAACTCCCAAGATTGCTAGCTGTAATGTTTTCTGATCATTGGACATTAACAAAACTGCCTATACATGGAAACAGCAAGTGCAGAAGATTTTTGTAAAACTGCAGAGCTGTATAAACTAACCAAAGTAAACAAATTATTTCCATCAAATAAGAGGCAGAACTAAAGAAAACAAGTTTTCGTATATATCAAAGAAGCCATACAATTATTATATATGACCCTCGGGACATAAAACGTGACAGTAATTCAAGTGTTTCCAAGTTCTGACAATGTTCATTTGGATTTTCATCTATTTAATACAGAGCACCAGCAAGTCTTGATATTGTTGGTATTAACCTTTCTATAAGAAACAGGCCTTATAAATAGGGAGTGTGAGTTATTTTAGTTATGGCCCAATTGTTATTTAACAGACAAATATTCTGTGACTAAAACCTCATCAACCCCCCCCCCCAAAAAAAAAAAGCTTTTGAGAGCCAAATCCAATGTTTTCTGTTTATCTTCTTCACAGGACAGAAATGAAATTTCACACTAAGTAATCTGGAGAGACCAACATTACAGATTAGAGAAGTACGAATATTTGGATGGAAGGGATTGAGTCAACACCTACAGATGTACAGGTGCAGATTCTACAAAAATTGTACATATTCAGCTATACTTATACTTGCATGTATAATCTGCTTTCTTGGTATCCGCTCTGAGACAACTTGACAGGCTGGCAGCACTAGGAGATAACTGTAATTCTCACAACCAAAACTGTGTTTGCAAAATGATTTACCAAGAGTTTCTTTTGGCACTTGGCTAGGACCACAAACCTGAGAAATCAGAAGAGTTGTTTTGGTCACCAGCAAGCATTAGGAAGAGCCTGAGTGAACTTTCTTTTATTTTTTAAATTTATTTATTTACTTACTAGTTCTAATAAGTTATACATGACAGTAGAAAGCTCTTAGATTTGTTGTATACAAATGGAGCACAATTTTTCACTTCTCTGATTATGCATGAAGTAGAGTCACACCATTCCTGCAATCATACATATACCTAGGGTAATGATGTCCATCTCATCCCATGATATTTCCTACCCTTTGCCCCCATTTGCCCCATCTAAATTTCCACTACTTATCCCATGCACTCCCCACGCCCCCCATATGAATTAGCATCCACTTATCAGAGAAAACATTGGGCCCCGCCATAATGTTACTTCTCTTTTAATGCTGAGTAATATTCCATTGTGTATATATACCACAGGTTCTTTATTCATTCATCTATTGAAGGGCATCTAGGTTGCTTCCACAGTTTAGCAATTGTGACTTGTGCTGCTATAAACATTGAAGTGGCTGTGTTACTCTAACCATGCTGTTTTTTACGTCTTTAGGGTATAGACCAAGGAGTGAAATAGCTGGGTCAAATCGTGGTTCCATTTCAAGTTTTCTCAGGATTTTCCATACTGCTTTCCATAGTAGTTGCACCAATTTGCAGCCCCACCAGCAATGTATGAGTGTGCCTTTTCCCCACATCCTCGCTAACACTTTTAACAGACACTTCTCAGAAGAAGAAATAGAATCCATCAACAAATATATGAAAAAAGTGTTCAACATCTCTAGTAATTAGAGAAATGCAAATCAAAATTACTCTAAGATGAAAATTAAGTGAACTTTCTTAAAAGAGAATTCTGGGGATGGGATGAGAAACTCAGAAACCGCACTGTTGTGATACTCTAAACCCTTAGGGGAACGCGGGTGAAAAGCACTCGACCTGCGCTTGGGAACGGAGAGCCCCAGAACAACTAGCCCACTGCTGGGGAGATGTCTGCGGAGCAGGGGGTGGCAGGGAGGACCCGGCTTTTCTCAGACTGAGGCCTTTCGGGTAGCCCTCCCTTCGGCTCACTGTGGCAGGGAGCTGGGCTTGCATTTTTTGGTTCGGAGAAACAGAAGCGGTGCCTTGGGAGGTCAGCGTCACCCCAGTGCAAGTGGGGACGGTCGCCAGGCTGCGCGGCGCCCAGTGCTCGCACCTGATCCCGGACAGGGACGTTTCGGGGTGTGAGGAAGAGGGGAAGTGAGCCCAGCCGGCTTAGCTGCGCTCCCCAGCGAACGCCAGGCTCCCGGGCTCGCAAGGGACGCGCGCCGACTCAGCGCCGCCTTCCGGGTGAGCCGGCCCACGCTGCCCGGCCGGCTTCGCCCAGGACCGCTCAGGGCCCGGGCTCGGTTTCCCGCCCCTACACCCGCAGGCGCCACCCCGACCAAGACTGGGGCCTAAGACACGCTCCTCGCCAGGCCTCTGCCGGGTCCCCACGCCGGCTCCCGTCCCCACGGCTCTGGCTGGCGCCCGCTCCCTACTCGGGCCTCTGGTCCCAGTGCCGGGCTCGGACATGCTCCCGGTTTCGGCTCCGGCCACTCAGGTCCCCACTCCCGGTCCTGACCCAGCCCTTTGCCCCGCGCCCTCCCCGCAGCCGGCGGCCCGGCCCTCCCATCCAGGGCGCGCACCTCTCCTTGGAGTAGAGCTGCAGCTGTTGCTCCTGCTGCTTCTTCCGGATAAACGCCATGGAGGGCAGGCGCGGGCGGGCGCGGAGCGCACGGCAGGCCCCGCCGCCGCCCGCCGAGGAGGTCCCGAGCAGCCGCGGGGAAGGCGGACGGGGCGGCCTTCCTGGAGCGCGCAGCTGCGGCCTGGCTTCCCGAGCGGCGCCGCTGGGCGGCCGAGATCCTGACTCTGCGCCCCAGGGGCCCCGCGGCGTCCGGCCGCGCTCACCGCAGCATCCTCGCGTGGGGACTCCGGCGGCGCAGTGACTCAGGCCCGGAGGAGGAGCGCGCGGTGACCCGAGGCGTCCCACACTCGGGCCGCCCCAGGAGTCCGCCAAGGGCCTGAGGCCAGAAGAGGCTCGGTTCTTACACACGAAACGTTGCGCCACTTTACCAATCTTCACAGTGTGCCATTTAAATATTTTACGAATGAAAATGGATGCTTGCCCATAAACCACCAATTTGTTGGCTGCGGGGGACTTGAAATAACAATGTTTTGGAATTTTAGATCCCAAATTTCAATTGTTTAAATAATTGATCCCATGACTTTTTGTCATTTTAATAACAACTTGATTGAGATATAATTAAATATCAAAGAATTCACCCGTTTAAAGTGTACCACTCAGTAGTTTTTAGTATATTCATAGACATGTGCAATTATCCTCACAGTTTTAGAGCCTTTTCATCACCTCAAAGAGAAACCTGTAGCCTTGACCTATCACCTCCCCCCCCCCCCAAACCACCTCTCCCAAAGCCCCTGACATAGCAAACACTAATCAGCTTTGTCTCCGAATTTGCCTGGTGTGGACATTTCAAATAATGCAGCCATACAAGATGTGGTCTATGCTGTAAAGATTTATCGGTGCTATGGCACAAATCAGTACTTGATTTTTAATGCTGGAATGAGTTTCATTGTATGAATATACTATATTTAATTTATTTATATATTCATCAATTGATAGACATATCATATCGGTCCATCAATTGGCAATTAAGAATAATGCTGGCGTAAACATTCATGCATCAGTTTTTCTGTGGACTTGGGCTTTCTTTTGTGTTGGGTGAAACTGAAATCCAGGAGTGGAATTACTGGGGCATATGAAACTCCATGTCCAAACTTTGAAAAATAGCCAGACTGTTTTCCGAAGTGGCTGGCCCCATGTAACACTCCCACCATTAGCAGTGTAGATGGGTTCTAATTTCTCCACATCTTCTCCAATACTTGTTATTATCTGACTTTTTGATTAGGGCTATCCTAGTGGGTATGCCTGCTATTCCACAGTGGTTATGACTTCCTAAAATACTTATGATTGTTTACCATTGAGGGATGCTTGAATAACATGCTTTTAAATTATATGTATACTCAAACATATCTAATACTAAGAACCAGTTTCTTCAGATTTAGATTTTAAAGTCTCAGAGTGAATGCTTCTCAGCTCTCTGGTAAGTGGCAGGACTCTGGTGGGGAAGGCAGGAGAACCAAGAACAAAATCTGGGACTGGGCATTTTGAATTTAATTCCTCTCAACAACAGTGGAAAAAATGCAATATAAACAATGGACACGCATTAATATTTTTTGGAAGAATTCAAAGTACTTGAGTTCTCTGTGCTTTGATTCCCTTCTATTTATCCAAGTAGTACACAGAACTATTACTGATAAACAGATATCAGAGACATTGGGTCATTATTTCTTAGTATATTGTGATCTTGTAGCCAAGATTAAAAATATATGAACAGGTACATGATGAAATGAGATGATGAGATTTGCCAATAGGTACCACATGACCCATTTTCTATGTGAGAAGTACTGCAATAGATACTATGAATTCAGAGAAGAGAATTTAAGTAAGCTGGAAAAAAGGTGAGAAATAAAGAAACAAATCAGACTATAAGTTTTCTTCTTTTGGTTAAATATTAAATAAAGAAGTAAAACTGGTAGGTGGAGAGAGACAAAGATTCTCTATTTGATCAAAATCTAGCCAGTTTCCTCTGAACCCTCCTAATTAGGCCCTGACCATGGCCTATAAAAACTAGATTCAGCACAGATAATTTTGTCTTCTTCCTCTTCCACTTTGAAAGAGTTAAACAAGCACTGACATAGTTTCTAATAGTTCCCTAAGATAACCCTAAATCCCTGAAAGTTCCTGCTCAAGGCTGCCCAAAGAATTTACTGTTCATTCCAGTCTACAATTGACATAGGTCCCTTATCACTCTTTCTCACATTTGCTTAAAAAGGGCTTACATTTTTAATCACTAAAAAGAGTGATTAAAAGAGTGATCACTCAAAAGTCCCTTTGAGATATGTATGCCTCCTACAACTCAGAAGTATCTTTCTCAAGGACCCAAAAGCTGTTCCTTTGAAATATAATCATCAGGAAGTTTAGGGCCTCTATCTTTCAGTCTTCCTGAGAAAATGGGCTCCCTATTCAATAATTGCCAGCCAAGGGCTGGGGATGTAGTTCAATGGTAGGGTGCTTGCCTGGCATGCACTATGTCCTTGGTTCAATCACCAGCACTGAAAAAAAAAAGATAAAATAATAATAATTGCCAACTAGCAGATAGCTGTCTAATCACATTTACAAGGCCCTTTATAGTTCCTCACTGCCCTAACTCTACTGGGCCACCCAATGCCCTACTCCTTCCTTCCCCATTCTCCCTTCAAATTTTCTAGTTCACCTCTGCACAAATCAAAGCTGAGTTCAATTCATGCTGAGCCCCCTTCCCTACTGCAAACATATATTACTGATTAAAAACTATCACTTTAACTAGCTTCTGGCTTTGTATATTAGGAAAAGGGAAAGAAAGAAACATTCAAAAGGATTTTCTTGAATAATAATTCAGAATAGAGATGCTTCTGCTGTAACAGAATTCATGAAGAATTAGGAGAGAACTGCAACAGGTACTTCTTCTTCTTCCCACCACCAAGTCTCCACCCCACTAGCTCTGTTCCCTTATGCTTTGTCTTTGTTCCTAATTTAAGGTGTAGCTGTTTCTATCAAAGGCCAACTTCTCTTTTTATCCCAACAATTTCGCTTTTGTAATACCCTTTCTCTTTCTTTCTTGCTTTGTCTATTTCTCATTATCCAATAATCCCCATCTAAATATAAATAACAGTTTTCAAAAAACTTTCCCTTCATCCCACATCTCCCTCCAGCTCCTCTTAGCAGAACTTCCTAAAACATCTTCCTACCCGTGCTGCCTCAATTTTTTTCACATTGTAACCTCTTCAGTGCATTTGGATTGAACTTCCATTTTCACCACTTCACTGCAATGGTTCTTATCAAATCATCACATTCATTGCTCACTTTTCTAGCTTCATCTTATCTGAACTCTCAACCCAGTGTGGCTGAACACAGCATTCAGTGTAGCTCCTTATTGGAATACTTTTCTGCCCCTTAATTCCAAAGACCCAGTTTCCTTGCTTTTCTCTTACCCTTGTTTGGTTTTCCTCCTGCTAAACTTTTTTTCTTTTTTCATTCAGTCACAGGGATCCAACCCAGGGCCTTGTGCATACTCTGCAAGCACTTCACCACTGAGCTATACCCCCAGCCCTCCTGCTTAATTTTAAGTTTGTTGTTGTTTTGGTACCAGGAGTTGAACCCAGTTGTGCTTAACCACTGAGCCACATCCCCAGTCCTTCTTATATTTGATTTTAAGACAGGATCTCACTAAGTTGCTTAGGGCCTGGATAAGTTGCTGAGGCTGGCCTTATGATCCTCCTGCCTCAGTATCCAAAGCCACTGGAATTACAGGTGTGCACTACAGCACCAGCTCTGCTTAAGTTCTCAATGTTGATTATCTCTACGCACTGACTTGGTAATTTCAACCAGTTTCATGTAAGAGGGGCCAAAGGGCTGTGGAGGAAAGAAAGGTCTGATAGTTTTAAGTTGTTTGCATTTGACTCAGGGTAAACATCTCATCAACTTTGTCATTGGTAAAGTCTTCTGTTTGGGAGTTAGGAGTGTGTGTGTGTGTGTGTGTGTGTGTGTGTATTAAACTGATTTGCTTTACTTTCCAAAGTTCTACCAAGTGGGTACCTACCAGTAAAGACAGGAAGAAAAGTCTCAAGATTTAAAGCAAAGTAAAAGTATTCAGTAGAGGCTGAGTGAGAGATTATCTTTGAAATATATGTCCCTTAGGAAACAGGAGTTTTGTAGACAATATTGGACTTTCAATAAGGCTAAATAGAGGCTTAAACCAATCTTACCTTAATCTTTAATGGTTGACCTCTCTAGTTTGAGGCACTATTACTTCAAATGATGGTGACTGCACATCTCAGAGGATGTGATGAACTCAGGGAGAGGATTCATCCACTTATCTTTTTTATTTTGGTAATGGAGATTGAACCTGGCTGCACTCTACTGCTGACCTATACTCCTAGCCCTTTCTCTCTCTTTCTTTTCTTTCTTTCTTTTTTTAAAATTTTTTTAAATTTTGAGACAGGGTCTTGCTAAGTTGCCAAGTTGGCCTTGAACTTGTGTCCTCCTGCCTGAGGAGTTGCTGGGATGACAGGTGTGCATCAACCACACCCAGCTATCCCCATCTCCTCACAGATCTCAGAGTTGTGTTATTCTGAAACTATTCTTATTCTGAGAGACTTTAAATTCATAAAACTCATCTTTGAGCTTTTTTGTAATGTTTTGACTTCACAGACTAAGCTCTAAAATCTTTAAGAACTTTGCACATATTTTTTAAAATTACCATTATAACTGGGCCTGATGCAGTCCCAGCCAGGAAGTTTGCTTAAGCCCAAGAATTCTAGGAGAGCCTAGGCAATGTAGCAAGATGCATCTTTTAAAAAAAGAATTTGCACTTGGTTGCAGAAAAGAAGGATCTGTAAATTTATGTTGCTCTTATTTGCAAAGCGTTCATCATCAGAGTAAACACCAACATTATCTTTACCTTTATTTTGTTCATAAAACAACAATAACAGTCTTTCACTGGTGAATATTTCTGAAGAATGCCTAAGGAAGTTATTTTTTAAAATTTGTGAAGGCACAAACTTTTAATAATCACCATTTTGAAGTTTAGAAGTAGTAGACATTTTTTACCTAAAGAAAATAAGTAATCAGCACTCCTTTTTGTATGTTATGACTTCTTTTATGCCTTTAAACTTCTTTGTCTCTGCGTAAAATGACTTTCTATCTTTTTCCCACATTTCTCCAATATGCCCTTTAAGTTCTCAGTCAAGTTTTCCTTTGAGTCTTCTCTAACAAACCACAATGGAATTAATCTCATATTCACTCACTCAGCATACATATATTTCACATTAATATATATATATATATATATATATATATATATATATATATATATATATCAGGCATTGAGGTGTGCACTGGGTAGGTGCCTTCATGAAGTTCACAGAAGAAAATTCAAACAGTGATTT